CCTATCACTTCTGTTTTGTACCAGCCTGTGGCTAAATAGGACTAGTTAGTTATAGCCTACCTTACTTTAGAAAGGATTTACAATGCAAAGGGAACCCTTATACATTGCACATTGCTGACATTTAGTAAGAATATTAATAGTTCTCTCATACTCTTCCAGACATATATTTCCCTTCCTTAAATTATAGGGACTTTTAAATAAAAATAAAACAAAATTTAGCATAAATCACTAAATACCACTGATTTTTCAATGGAAAACAGGTTGATTCTGAAGATTATACAATTTCTTAAATGTCTCAATAAATAAAATAGAATGGCTGATTAGAAAATTGATAAAAAAGATAGAAGAACAATGAAAGAAATTAAGGTGGTGATTAAGTTTTCACCAGAAGCTAGTTTGAATGGAGATTCATTAGAAATTTAGCTGACATTCTCAGGAAAGCTTGGGTGCATTGAGATCTGGGGCACTGAGACAGTTCTCAAGGAGATCCATCCAAACATATGGCCACTTGGGTCTGGGTAGGCTGGAATTATCTGGGTTACTGACACAACTGTCCACTTGTCTTTGCATGTGTAGACACAGACTTTGTGAAGGCACATGAGGTGGACAGAAAGCCTGGGCATTTCATTTGTAGCAAATGGGCACTTTGTAATGGAGAGCCTCAGATTTCCTCACAGATACTCTCCAAACCCAGGAAGCATCAAAGCTCATAGTCAGGCTTTCCATACAAGCTTCCCAACCTTCCAAATCTTCCCAGTCAGCCCCATTAGCTACAACTCCCACCACACCATCCACACCTTCCATCTGGTGTCCCTGAACTGCTTGGCCTTACTCCAATATGCCTACGGTTTCCACCTTCATGTACATGCTGTTTCTTATGTGTGGCAAACTCTTACTCAAACTTCAAGATCTCGTTGAGGTATCACCTTCTCTTGGAAGTCTTCTCTCTTATCCAAGGCATAATTAATAACTCTCTTCTTCTGACCTCCAACAGAATAAGGGATAGTGTGAAGGAATGAAAAGGGCAAATGTTCTACTGTCAAAATGATTTGAATTTAAAACTGACTTTTGTACATACTAGCTGTGTGATCTTAGGTAAATTAGTTAATCTTCCTGAGGTGCAATCTCCTGATACTTAAAATAGAGACTAATTCCCTAAATTTATGGGGATCATCAGTGATATTGTATCACCATTGTTTGCCTGCTTATATTTCTCTTTGTGAGCTCCATGGTATGAAAGTATAAAAAGTATACTTTTTATAAAAGTATAAAAAGTCTTTGCCTTTTTAATCACTTTGCTGCCCTACAAGGCACCTAGCATGGTACCTCGTGGTGTGCAGCACTCAATTTTTAAAAATTATTGAACAGTTCTGGAAAAGTAACTAAAGCACTGATAGGCCAATTAAAGCCCAAGTCCTTCTATGAAGTGCTCTCTGGTCATTTCCACATCCATTCATTTGAATCCCCACAGCTCTTGTACACACTACTACTAAGGCTCTTGTCACAGCCTGCTTTATACATACTAATTGATTCTAAGATCCTCCAGGGCAGTAACCATGGCTTTCACTCTGAATCCCCAACATCTCACAATGCTCTGTGAATGCCATCTAATGATAAAGTTACTTAAAATATCCCATTCTCTTTCTCATTCCAAACATCTTTCCTCTTCAGATTATGCTGAATTTACCCCAGGGCCCCAGAGACTGAGGCCTTTGTAATAATGACTTATTTCTGTAGTCCTTGTCCAAGGCTCAGAGTGAGTGGCATCTCTTGACTTTCCCAACTCTCCACAGAGTTGGCCTTTCTTCAGTGCAGTTTCTTTTAATTGTCCTTTGCTTTCTACTTCAGGGCAAGAGTCTTCTCATTGATGTATTGTTCTCATGGGGACTTAGAAAATTTTGGTTTATTATTTCTTAATTCACAGGCTCATGGAGAATTATTGCTGGAAGGCACCTTAAAAAATCATTGAATCCGGGGACCTCAAATAGAGAACAATTCCCAATGTTGTGCTAGGCATGACTAATCAATCATAACACTTCTGTTGAAGTTACATATGGCCTCAGAGTCATTTTCAACACAATATTCTAGTTAGAAACCATCAATTCATCGGTTTCCATAGGAGATGAAACTTGTTTGACATCCCTGATGTAGTTCAAAGCTGCTGTTTTGCTAACGAGGTCCAAAGAGCAGTGGTGACTTAGTAATGAACTGAAACCAGAAACCAGGCTACCTGACTCTCATGACTTTCAGTCCAGGGTTTCCCTTTCCACATGATCACTGCCTCTCCTTCAACAGTCATTCAAGTCCTAGAATTTATATTCTATTCATTGGCTCATACCTAACTGTACTTAGCAATATGATTTAAAAAAAACACAAGTTTTGGCCTTACCAAAAAGACATCTGGGCTCTAACTGATATTAGGAGCTCTTGAGGGGAAGGGCCTATGTTACACTTTGTATCTTTCACAAGTTCTAATCCTGAGTCTGGCACATGGTAGGTATTCAACAAAAATTCTCTGATGTATATCCAACTATATACATGAAACAAACAGGAAATCTATTCTTAAATTCTCACCAAGAATCAATGAAAAATCCTACCCCTTTGTATGGAAGCAGTATTTGTTTGAAAGGACTCCATGCATGATGACATACAGCCTCATTTTTTCTTTTTTTTTAAGAGTGACACCATGTTTAAATAAATTCCCATTTCACCTGAATGTTTTAGGGGAAAGTAAATTATTATGTCAATGACTGGACTGCCCAGTGACGCTTCTACTTCAAAATACAAAGGGCAGTGTTGTGGTTTAGGGCTCAAAACTTCTGAGCTTTTCTTGTCGTTTTTCATGGTGACATCTATTGACCTAAACTTGTGGTTCTGTGTGATGTTCACAGCCAAAATGATTAGAACAGAAAAGTAAAGGAAAGGAGATGAAGAGAAAGAGAATAGGAAGGCAGAAGGTGGGGAAAGGTATTTTACGATATAGCAGTAAGATACTAGTACTATCACTTAAAAATACTAAATTTAAAAAGCTTTACAACCCACAGCTAACATCATACTTAATAGGAAAGATTAAATGCTTTCCCCTTAAGGTCAGGAACAAGACAAGGATGACTGTTTTTGCGACTTCCATCCAACACTGGAAGTTCTAGACAAGGCAATCAGTTATGATAAAGAAATAAGTCATCCAGATTGGAAAGAAAGAAGTAAAACTCTCTCTTTTTACATATGACATGATCTTGTAGATAGAAAATCCTGAGGAATCTACCAAAAAGCTACTACAATTAATAAATGGATCTAGCAAGGTAGCAGGATATAAGATTGATATACACAATAACTGTATTTCTATACACTTGCAGTGAACAATCCAAAAATAAAACAGAAAACAATTCATGTGCAAAAGAATGAAATTGCAACCCTACTTCATATTGTATACAAAAACTAATTCAAAATGGATCAACCACCTAAATGTAAGAGCTAAAACTACAAAATTCTTAGAAGAAAATACAGGCATAAATCTTCATGGCCTTGGTTTTTTAGATATAATACCAAAAACACAAGTAACAAAAGAAAAAATAAGATAAATTGGTCTTTGTCAAAATTAAAAACTTTTGTGAATCAAATGACACTATCAAGAGAGACAACTCATAGAATGGGAGAAAATATTTGGAAAGCATATATTTAATAAGAGATTAATATCTGGAATATACAAAGAACTTCTACAACTCAACAACAACAAAGGAACCCGATTTTTAAAATGGGCAAAGGATCTGAATAGACATTTCTCCAAGGAAGATATACAAATGGTCAATAAGCACATGAAAAGATGTTCAATACCAGTGGTCATTAGGGAAATAAAAATCACAACCACAATGAGATACCACATCAGACCAAACAGGATGACTATAGGCAGAAAGACATATAATAACAAGTGTTGGTGAGGATGCAGAGAAACTGGAACCCTTATACACTGATGGTGGGAATGTAGAATGTTATAGCCACCTTGGAAAACAGTCTGGCAGTTCCCCAAAATGTTAAATATAGAGCTATCATTATGACCCAGAAATTCCACTCCTAGGTATATTCCCAATGGAAATAAGAGTATATGTCTACACAAAAATTTGCGCACAAATATTTATAGCAACATTATCCATAACAGTCCCAAAGTGGAAACAATGCAAATGTCCATCACCTGATGAGTGGATAAATTAGATGAGGTATATCCATACAATGGAATATTGTTTGGCAATGAAAAGAAAAAAAGTATTTGTTTATGCAACAACACAGAGGCACTTTGAGAACATTATGTAAAGTGAAAAAAGCAGTCACAAAAGACCACATAGTATACAATTCCATTTATATGAACTATCCAGAATAGGCAAATATACAGAGACAAAGTAGATTAGCAGTTGCCTAGGCTGGGTGGGGAGGGGCTGGGGTTGAGGGAGAGGGAAGTGACAGCTACAGATTTCTTTATGGGGTGATGAAATGTTCTAAAATTGACTGTGGTGATGGTTGCATAACTCTAAATTTCATTTGTTTACTTTCTTCTTTTCTATGTCTGTCACAACAATCCATGTATTCACTTAGGTGATCCATATGTATATTTCCATGACTATCCTGACTTTATAATATGTAAAGGACTAGACATATTTTATGATGAGCAGGTATCTTTTATGGAATCTATCCTTCTAGAATATTTAATTTAAAAGAAAAAAATTAAAGAAATAACATTGAAACTATTCTTTTTCTTCCTCACTATAGTCATTACATCACCTTCATAACACATCATTTCTGCTGACCACTAGCAGCTTTACTCCCAAAATTTATTTATCATAAATCTACTTCATCAGAAATTACATCACTGCATAGCAATACATTTATAACAGTGCTCTACTGTCCAGTAGCTCCATAATCTGTTTGTTACCAACAGCTTAAATGTCAATTATAGTTAAATCCATGGCAAACGAGAGAATTTAATGTTCCGATTATTTTGTACCTACCCCTTTTGAATCAATCACTCCAGGTTTTGCATTAAACTTCACTGTCTTCAATCGGGCACGTTCCTTTCTTTCTACCCTAAAGAAAATGGAAAATAAAGAGTCTATGGCAAGGCATTTATGATTAAGTTTCTTATCAAATGAAGAACACCTCTTCTTATCCTACAGCTCAAATAAAATGTGTTTTAAAATATTTAAAATATTTCTCTTCTTTGTTCAGTATAAAAAGTCTTGGTATGATATCTCTAAGCTGCTAACACATTCCTTGCAATTTTTGTGTTACATGTACTGAGAGTCACGTATTAGGAAGCAACAAAACCCCAATATTTGTTATTTAAATGCCTGAATCAATCAAAATCTATTTCAAGAAATCACAGTCCACATAGATGAATACCTAGGAAGCTAAGTAAGCTCTCATCTCCTAATAACTCCTTCTCTCTTTTTGTTTCCTTTTGTTCCCTTCCCTTTAGGAATACTGGGGTATTTATTTACCTTCACCTCAAAAACAAACATGTTACAGATAATCTTGAACTTTTCCTTTGCCCCAGTGTCCTTCTGCTGCCATCTCTGCAGTTTTCATTATTTCACCTTCATTCATTCATCAAACACTTATTGAATGCCTACCCTGTATCAAGTAAGGTGCTGGGGAACAAAGAAAAAAAATTAAAAAGCACGACTATAATGAACACATAGTAATGTGTTCTTGGCAGGGACAAAGGGATAAAAAGACAGATATTGCTGCACAAAAGATTGCTGATAGCAATATGGGCATATTTATCTCATTGGAGGAAGATAAAGAGGGGGTAGAAAGCAATGGGGTGGGCTTCCTGGAGGAGGTTTCAATTTATGTGAGACTTAAATGGTGAGAAAGAGCTTGTCAGTGGGAAAAGTTTAGGGAGAATCTCCCAGACAGGAGGAACAACATATACCATGACCCGAGGATAGGGCTTCCTGGAGGAGGTGTCAATTTATGTGAGACTTAAATGGTGAGAAAGAGCTTGTCAGTGGGAAAAGTTTAGGGAGAATCTCCCAGACAGGAGGAACAACATGTACCATGACCCGAGGATATGATCAAGCTAAAGATTGCAGGAAGATTCTGGTACAGGGTACCTACAGCACAGGGACATGAGGCTGAAGAGGTGGCGAGACCTCCTTATAAAGGGTATCCGTCTACTCTGAGGACATGGGGTTTTCCTTTGGGGAATCCTCATGACTTATTAGAAGCTATAAAGCTGAGAAGTGATAGACATTAGCATTTTAAATACATGACTGGGGGAGGAGGAAGATAGAGTGGAGGAGGGAAGGAACAGTGGGAAGCAGGAGGCCTATTTAAAAGCTACTGCCATAATCCAGGCAAGAAATGATGAGGAGTGATAATGAGGTGGAGGAGAGAGAAGGGTTGGAGAAATATTAATAACATAAAGCTGGCAGGACTTGTGCCTATTTGAAGGATGAGGCTTGAAAAGAGGTAAGAGAAGTTAAATACTTCTGATTCTTTTTTGAGCCTCTCTAATTAAACATGATCATTCTTTCCTCTAAGCCCCATGACATTTATTTGTATGTCTGTATTGGTGTTATCTCGTTTCCTTGTGTCTTGTTTATTTTTGAGTTACGCATACAAGGCTGTATGTTCCTTGAAGGCAAGTCCACATATCACTCAGTGTATTATAGCAAGTCCTCAATAAATAACAGTTGAACTAAAATCATATTCATTGCATTGTTTTAGCATCATTTTTTTTGTTTAAGTACGGCTAGCTCTAATTTCAAAAATGGGGAAAGAAAAAGGAGAGGAAAAAACCCTGAATCTACAGAAACTTAATGGCTTATGAAATCTAAGCTGTTCATAGATCAATAATGAACAACATACTCCTCTTTAACTTAAGAGTTCTTTTGTGTTTCCAGCTGAAACGCACTGAAGATCAGGGTTTCTATAGTTACAGAATGGAGTTTCAGAATATATTTATTTCAGTGTGAGAGTAGAATATTTGAGTGGAAACAGATGAAGAAAATTCTTCAAATCTAACCTCAGATATGAAAGCAATATGCTCCACTAAGAGTTTCTACTTGCACCCAACATACAACAGTTGGGAGGAGACCAAGGAAGACTTCAGATAAGGTAAACTGCCAAGTGAAAAGATGCTCACTGAGACAATGCCTACTCCGGGCTACTTCAGCTTTTCTCAGTTTTAATCCAAGTGCCAATGCTAATTCATATTCATCTCTGCCCTGACTTTATCCTGGCTTCTTTGCATTAACCAGCCTAATTATGGGAACACTAGTACATCAGATGACGCCAAAATGACTGTAACATGAAGAGAATATATGGTTATTTGATTAGGCTATGCAAATAAATTCTGCATAAAGTGACAGAACTCACATGGGCCCCAAACATAAATAATATTAGGCTGAACTCAATATTCTATTCTAAGAATTGCTTAGAGCATTCTAACTTTTCCCCCCTGGTTTCTAAGTTCATCCCTTTCATATTTCTTAAGAAATGTTTCTATTAGGCCATTTTAGTGGTTCATCACTTAAATCTCAAATGGGTTGCAAAGACTAAGTCAGATGGACAGAGAGACAGATAGACACACACACAAACACACCTAATATTTGCTATGGTTTATTACTAATCTTCAAACAAGCAACAGAAAAAGTAAAAAAAAAAAAAAATTAAGTCTTACTGTATAGGTGACAGATTTTGGTTCACTCAAGAAGGAAGTCAGACAAAGGATTAATCTCCAAAATATACAAGCAGCTCATGCAGCTCAATATCAAAAGAATAAACAACCCAATCCAAAAATAGGCAGAAGACCTAAATAGACATTTCTCCAAAGAAGACATACAGATGGGCAACAAACACATGAAAAGATGCTCAATATCACTAATGATTAGAGAAATGCAAATCAAACCCACAATGAGGTATCACTTCACACCGGTCAGAATGGCCATCACCAAAAAAATCTACAAACAATAAATGCTGGAGAGGGTGTGGAGAAAAGGGAACCCTCTTGCACTGTTGGTGGGGGTGTAAATTGATACAGCCACTATGGAGAACAGTATGGAAGTTCCTTAGAAAACTAAAAATAGAACTACCATATGACCCAGCAATCCCACTACTGGGCATATACCCTGAGAAAACCTTAATTCAAAAAGATATATGCACCACAATGTTCACTGCAGCACTATGTACAATAGCCATGATATGGAAACAACCTAAATGTCCACGGACAGATGAATGGATAAAGAAGATGCAGCACATATATACAATGGAATATTACTCAGCTATAAAGAGGAACGAAACTGAGTTATTTGTAGTGAGGTGGAAGGACCTAGAGCCTGTCACACAGAGTGAAGCAAGTCAGAAAGAGAAAAATAAATACCGTATGCTAACGCATATATATGGAACCTAGAAAATTGGTACTGATGAACCTAGTAGTAGGGCAGGAATAAAGATGCAGATGTTGAGAACGGACTTGAGGACACAACGGGGGAAGGCGAGTAGTGAGATGTAGTGAGAGAGTAGCACTGACATATATACACTACCAAATGTAAAATAGGTAGCTAGTGGGAAGCAGCTGCATAGCACAGGGAGATCAGCTCGGTGCTTTGTGACGACCTAGAGGGGTGGGATAGGGAGGGTGGGAGGGAGGCTCAAGAGAGAGGGGATATGGGGATATATGTATGCATATGGCTGATTCACTTTGCTGTACAGCAGAAACTAACACACCATTGTAAAGCAATTATACTCCAATAAAGATGTATAAAAAAAAAAGAAGGAAGTCAGAAAGTTGTGACTTCTACTTGGGTTGAAAGTTTCATGAATGATAATGATGATGATGATATAAGTGGTAGCTGAAGTTTTAACATATAATTATTAATGAAAAATTCCTTCACATTTACATCATCTCATTTGGCCCCAGCATAAGCAAGTGTGGTATTCTCAACCCCATTTTATGGCTGGGAAAGCTAAGACTTGAAGCTTGCCAAATTAGAAAGTGGTAGAAATAGGGCCTGAGCACATATCTTTTAAAGCTAACTTCAGTGTCTGGCCACATCCACTCTGTTTGGGAAACAATACTTAAGGACCTTCCATGCCTCGCATATCTAATGGGTTTCAACAAACATGAGATTTTAGATGGTCACCCACAATTTTAAGACCAATATAGTTCCTTAGACGTCTGGGCTGAGTTTCTCACAAATGACAGCCATCCCCCCTTCCTTGCATCCCAAATCCCGAATGTCCTGAATTAAATAAACCATAACAAAACTCAAGCAAAGAGTCACTGAGATAATACCTGTTATGACAGGCTCGCCTCAAAACTCAGAATAAATTTGCTTTTAACACTGAAATTCAGGTTAGCTAGATGTCTATTTGCAATGTTACATCAGAAACATTGGACTGATCTCTCTCTTCAGCAGTCTTTACATTCACTGCATCCCCAACAATAGTTGTGTTTTTCTATCCCAGAGGCTCATGTCTATTGCCTCTTGGGGATCTCTGCAAACCCTTCTCATGGGTAGCAGGGGATGTGGCTTATCTTTTTTCCTCACTTGCCTCAACCCTGTCCTCTCTCCTAGTGCTTCTTGGGATACATGTGGATAGTTTATTGCCAAGATCAGTTAGGGTGGAGAAATAGGGCCCTACATAATGCTATGTTGTTTTGAGCATCAAAAGCTCAAACTCTGAAGAAAGGAAAACATATATCATTTGAGTAAGCACAGAAGTATTAGAAGCTATGCTAAACTTTACCTATATTATCTATAATCCGTACAGTGATCCAGGGCTTAAGATGGAGCTGGGCATATAGTAGGTGCTTAATCTTTGTTGGTAAATGAATGAATGAATCATCAAGGAGGCTACTGGTTCTTGACCTGGGTGTGAAAACCAAGGCTCAGAGATTTGAAGTGACTTGCCCAAACAACCAGTGTTTCTGATTAAAAAGTTGTTGACCATTTTACAACTTTTTTATTGTACTTGGTAGGAATCTATGTAAAAGTTTAGCATCACCTTATCTAGTTATTTTACTAAGTGAGACTCCTTTAGCAGAAATACAGGATGTTAAGACCCACAGATCTTTA